CATTAGTACTTTTACGAAAACTATCTAACTTCATTGGTGGAAACAATCGACAATTTGTTTGTTTGTTTGGTTGAATTTCGCGCAAAGCTACACGAGGGCTATCTGTACTAGCCGTCCCTAATTTAGCAGTGTAACACAAGAGGGAAGGTAGCTAGTCATCACCACCCACCGCCAACTCTTGGGCTAATCTTTTACCAACGAATAGTGGGATTGACTATCACATCATAACGTCCCCACTGCTGAAAGGGCGAGCATGTTTGGTAGGACGGGAATTCGAACCCACGACCCTCAGATTGCGAGTCGAGCGCCCTAACCACCTGGCCATGCCAGGTCGAAATTCGACGAAGAATACAGAGCTAGCTCTAAGTGACTTGTACCTACGTCAACTCGAAATTAATTCGCTCGTCGTGAATCCTCGAAAAGACATCAAGGAAGTTCCAGACTAGAAAGAAGATTTTGTATTGCTCGTAAATTTGTGGAACTTTTGTACATGAAACATTGTTTGTAGTAGCTATTTGTAATGACTGTTATTGTAAATTGTTTTATTGTTTGTATACTAAAACATATTTGTATAAAACAAAGAAAACTATGTGTATCAATCTTGTTGGCAGGTATCATAAATTAGATACATATCGGCATTTATTTAACTACTGAATCTAAATTACAATTTAACTAAGTTGTAGGCTATTATAAATCGTAATACGTAACATAATTTATTAATTTCAATAGAAAATACTTATAAAGTATCACAGTATTAATTTCTGTGTGTACATGACACGTCTGCATTATGAAATCTAAATTACTTTGCATGGCTTCAATATTATGGGCACTAAACTGTTTCACTTGTCTGAGACACAATGTATAAACAATTCTAAGGTCAAAAAGTCAAAGTGCAAACTTCTCCCTGTAGTGAGAAATATTTTTTTAACTCACGACAGAAGCCTCACCCGTCTCTACTTAACTTTCAAAGCAGTTTTCAAAACCATATGCTTCTATCTGACCTACACGGTTATAATTAATAAAAACTTATTTTAAACCTACTTGAACGTTAAGCCATGCTACATCTGACGACCGCGCATTTTTGCATTAGTCCTTCAGCGTAGTTTTCATGCAACAGCTCAGTTGTAAAACTATCATGTCCAAAGCACAACATTCTTACCCACAGATTTTCCATAACCCAACAGTGGTTTTCAGTTCCTATTTCAACAGTCTGATACGACAAAAATTCATGAGTAATGCATCCATTGGACTTGACCAGTGTGGAATAACATTAATATATATATTTAATTCTCCAGCTGCTTGAGATATGCAACAGATGAGCAGATATGCTACGGAAACAGTTTGTACACAAATGATTTAAACCGAATTTCCAGACGGAGATCTTTCTTTATTATATAGGGTACTGTTGCAGTATGTGGACGGCTTTTACTGCAGGTCTTTCCATTTGTGGAATCTCTGATGTTACTACACACCGCATTTTGCTTACCATGGCTGAAGTATGACTTGTTTCAATTCTCTTTCTGGATAGTCCTTTTGTCCCTAGTTGATCCACATTCCTTTGTTTTCTAATGCTATTAAATAAAAGGAATCTTCCCATCTTGGAAACTCTTAATCTCTGATCTGAGCACATTTTTAAGATGTGAGTGTATGAATATTTTGCATTGAAAAGCGGTCAATTTTCGATAACACCACAATAACTACGAATGGTAAAAAAAATTCAAAATGTAGTTATGATACATGGCGTTCTACTACAACTTTATATGAACTGTGGTTGTCACATGACTGGCTGTTTTGCATATTCAAAATCGTTTTAATCGAACGTACTCAACCCCGTAGTAGGGACAAGTCTAAATACTACAGGCTCCTCTGTGGTAAAGCGGTATGTCTGCGGGCTTACAACCCTAGAAACCGAGTTTCGATGCTCCTGGCGAGCAGAGCACAGATAACCCATCATGTAACTTTGTGTTTAACTTCAAACAAAAGAAAAAAACACTACTACAGTTTAAATCTTTTGCAGTAATGTCATTTTCTAAGGCCTTTTTTAGAATACGCAAAAGCATTTTAATCAAAATTGATAAAATATTATAATTTTCCTATTTATTTGTATCCTATATTTGCAGAGTTTAATCCAAGTTATTAAACGCTGACTCTTTTAAAACTATAATATGTCTGCGGACTTACAACGCTAGAAACCGGGTTTCGATATCCGTAGTGGGCAGAGCACAGATAGCCCATTGTGCAGTTTTGTGCTTAACTACAAATAAACAAATAAAACTATAAATTAATATATATATATATGTGTGTGTGTATGTGTGTCTGTACTTTTATTATACTGATATACTTTAATTTTTTAGTTTAAAATATATTTTATGTTTCATGTTATTATCTAGGCCTATCTGCAACACGAATTTGCTGAATAATTACTAGACTCATTTCAGAAATACTTTATCTTTTTCTTTTACTTTGAGAAGAATTTTAATCTTAAATTGTCACTGATGTTTCAAAACTGATAATATCTATATAATTAGTCAAAATAACGTATGACTATTATTATGTATGTTTTACAGCATACGGTTCTTCAAACAATTACAATCCTTAAACATTACTATGTCTCAAGGTTCCAGAGAAAGATATTACTTACATACTGAATAAATAACAATTCTAAAGACATAATGAACACTTGACTCGTGATGTCCTAGAATAATTTGCTGATGATATTAAGGTCTTGGATGTTGCAAGCTTTGAGAAGAAAACTGCTGCTTTACAAAAGGATTTTAGATCATTCAGTGTGTTGGGCAAATAAATGGCAGATGGGTTATAATTATGATAAATGCAAGATAATGCACGTGGGTTATCATAATTTGAGTTATAAGTATAATTTGGATGGGAACAACTATAACAATGTTATGAAGGAAAGGGATCTTGGTGTTATGGTTAATCAGTCTCTTAAACCATCCAATTAGTGTGCTGTTGCTAGAGGTAGGGCAAATAGGATTTTATGTTGTATCTACAGAAATATTGAATACAAGTGTAAAGTGGTTATAATTTAATTATATAGGTCACTGGTTAGGACACATTTAGAAAATTGTGTTCAGTCTTGGGCTCCTTATCTTAAGAAGGACATTGAATGTCGGAAAAGATTCAGAGGAGGGCTACTAGAATGTTGCCTGGGATAGAGGGGGTTGTCATATCAGGAGAGGTTAAGATCTCCAATATTGTTTTCCCTTGAAAAAAGTTGAGTTAGAGGGAATCTGATTCAGGTGTTTAAGATTGTAAAAGGAATTGATAATGTTGACCCATCGTCTTTTTTCATATTTAATAACAAAAATAGTAGGACTAGGCGACACTAATATAAATTTCGGCAAGGTAGGAGTCATCTTCAGCTAAGACAGTTTTATTTTTTAACAGGATGTTGTAGAGGCAGTAAATTTAAGTGAGTTTAAGATAAAGTTTGATAACTATACGAATCATAAGGGTTGGCTTTAAGATTTTTGTTTAGTTTAGGGGATGAGACAGTCGAGATGGACCAATAGGTCCTTTGTTATCCCTAAACATCATGTTATGTTAATAAACTAAAATTAAAATTTTCTTTAGCAATATTTTTGGATTAACTCTCGTTTCTTTTGCTAGTTACATTTCATGCCTGGTGTTGCGAAAATGACACGTCACGGGGCTATGACGTCACCGCCCAAGAGCTGAAGTAATATCTGAATAACATTTGAACGTATTTACTTTTTTTTTCTGTTTCTTTCATTTCAAAAGATATGCCCACCATGAATCCTGAATAGTAAGTACTACTTTTAGCTTGTTTTAATGTCATGTGACAGGTACTACTATTGGTACCGTCACAGTGAATAAGTACGTTACGGTAGTACTAGTTATACTAATATGATGGAAATTATTATGTTAATTAAATAAAAGGTGGGAGGGATATTTCTCAAATTGTTTGTTATTTTACTTTCTCTGTTTCTGTTTTCTATTAGCATTAGTACTAGTATTGCTCATATTTGCATGGAGTTGCACATTCAATGATTCACTTCAGTATATTTTCAATTTCATGTGTAAAGAGCAGAGAAATAACTTATAAGTTATGATATTATACTGTTTTCTATATTGATTTGATCATTGTCTAAATTTTGTTAACTTGAACTTTTGGACTCCTAATACTAATAATACTACAGATAGAAATAATATTAAAGACGTGCAAGTTTCAAGTTAGACATTATCCTTTTATTAGTATTATGAAGTAATTATCTGTAACTTGCAAGTGTAACTTCTTTAGATCCAGAATCTCTTTTATAAGAATGTAAGTTTTATTTGATGTTAAACACATGTTTAGGTCAAGCTGTTTGTTTTCTGGTTACCTCAATGGGCGGAAATTAAATGACCATCTGTCATTCAGTCTTCTATGATTTTATAATTGGACTTTTCAACTATTTTTCTAAGTTGTATAATTTGAGAAATTATTATGTTGACTAATGTCTGCCATGTTTAATACTGATTTTTTAAAAAGGTGACACAGAATATTTCCAAGTAATTACCAAACAGTTACCCTTTCTTCAGCAATTGGGTAATTACTAGGTTATGATTAAAAACATTCTGCAAAAGAATTGAAACAAGTTTCACATTATCACATTTTCTTAAGTATGAATGGATTTGGTGTTCTTGAACTCTAAGAAGGGAGATACCATAACAATGAAATAATGTTATGAGTGGTTGTGTCACAGAATGAGCATAACATATGGACAATAAGGGACTATTTGGTCCTTCAAGAATGTTCTTGCACACCCATTTACAAGAATACGTAAAAATTTAAACCCACCATTTATTTTTCAGGAAGTTATCTCTTCCTTTCTTTGAAAATGCCAGCTTCCAGTACTACTGTTGTGAACTTATTCTACAAGCCTAGCACTCTGTTAGTAAAATAACTGATTTAACTTGAGCCTATACTGTCTTTTCCTAATTTTAAACTTGTGTTGTCTTCAAAATATAGCACATAGAAGTCAGAGGCATTTATCCTATCAAGTTCCTGGATAATCTAATGAACATTGTGAAAGGGGGTTAAAATGCCCCTGAAAAGACACTCAGGCATAATTAGAGACTAATAATAAGTTTGTAGGGTTGCTGAACTTGAATCTGGTATCAGATTTAGTGTTTCTAACCCCCCCTTTGTTATCCAGGGGTACCAGTTTTGAAACTATATTCATACCAACATTTCAATTGTCTTTTAATCTGCCCAAAATGAAAGTGAGAGGCTCGATGTCCCAAGCTCGGTTAATGTGTTTTCTGTTTAACTTATCCAACCAATTTTTGCCATATTATCTTGCTTTTTTAAAATCTAAAGTAATGATGTTATTACCACTAAAATGAAAGTTTTGATCTTATACCACTTGGTATACATGTAGGTTTAAATTATCATCTACTCTAGTAGAATTTCACATGTTTAGTAAGACAACAAGCTTCTCAAAAATCTAGTGTCAATTCAGCAATTTTTTAATGAAAATCTTCCCCAGTAATGATTTTGTTTATGGTGTAACTATTCTTTCTACATAGCAGTAAAAGGATCTCCACTGTTATGCGAGTCCTACTTCTACAGTAACCTCCAAAACCAGAAATCTCTTATATCCCCACCTTATAGCCCTTGTCCTGATAATTTGTTTTGTTGTACAGCAATTTGGTTGAGGTTTATTTTGTATAATAAATGTTTTATTTATTATAGGTTTGATCTTGCTGTTTTAACTCACTCATCTTTTTGATCTAAATATCAACTGAACTGCTTGGATTAATTATCAATGCTGTAAGAGCACTTTTAACTTGCATATTACATAGTATTTTTATCTTTACAATAAAAAAGACAAAATCTGGTTTTCTCATAGTTGTAGAGCTACAGATTTTTATAATAATTATGATGCAATCTACAAAATTTATAGATTGTTTTTACTTTTGAGCATAAATGTAAAACTTTTGTATAATGCTTAGAAATATGGAAAGTGAATGGGCAGTTGATATACTGACAATGTGAGTTTAAATTTAATTTACACATATTTAAACAAAATAACCCTTTTTTGTTATCAACTCTGTAACCTGTTAATGTAGCAATATAAAAAAACTTTTTCATAAATAACAGCTTATTATGCTTAATGTTTTTTAAAACATGGTTTTCTTTTGTAATGTGGATAGTTAGTCTTGGTCTTAGTTGAAGAGAAGATGGAATTGTTATTTACTATGAAATTCAAACTCAGTTTTATCCCTTTAATACTTAGAGACAATCTATTTAAAAAGTTAGAAATATTAATATAAAAATATCTTCCCTTTATAAATGTTAATGAGTTGGGCAAATAAATGGCAGATGTGTTTTAATTTAAATAAATGCAAGATAATGCATGTGGGTTATCATAATTTGAGTTATAAGTATAATTTAGATGGAAATAATCTTAACAGTGTCATGAAAGACAGGGATCTTGGTGTAATGATTAATTAGTCTTTTATACCATCCAAGGGTAAAAAGGATTTTAGGTTGTGCCTACAGAAATATTGAATGCAAGTTTAAAAGAGGTTATAATTTTGTTGTATATGTCATTGGTTAGGCCACATTTAGAGTACTGTGTTCAGTCTTGGGCTCCTTACCTTAGGAAAGACATTGAATTATTGGAAAGGGTTCAGAGGAGGGTTACTAGAATGGTGCTTGGGATGAAGGGTTTGTCATATGAGAATAGATTAAGATTTTTGAAATTGAGGTGTTTAAAATTGTAAAGGGAATTGATAGTGTTGATGCATCATCGTTTTTCATACTTAACACCGAGGACACAAGTATTAATTTTGGCAAGATAGAAGTCATCTTCAACAAAGAGTTTTATTTTTCTAACAAGATGGTTGACCTTTGGAATGGATTGCCTTCAGATTTTGTAGAGGCAGTAAATTTAAGTGAATCTAAGAGAAAGTTTGATAACTATGAATGATAAGGGATGACTATAAGATTTTTTTATTATTTTTTAATTTATAATAGTTTCGGTTAGAGGACGTGACAGCCGAGATGGACCAATAGGTCCCTTGTTGTCCCTGAACATTATGTTATGTTATAATCTAGCAACACTAAAGTATATTTATTGTAAGTACTTTTGAAGAATATTTAAAATAAAAGTAAAATTTATGGGTTTTGGGATATTTCTGACTTTACTAGTACTTTAAACTTTATAACATCTATTGCAGTTTTTAATAAATCAATGCAGCTTTGTTCTTTCATCTAAAAAAAAAAAGACTATTCATCTATGTCATTTCTACTATTGTATCAAGCTTTTAAAGCTTGTACATTTTATTATTATTCCCTTAAGAATAACATAACAAAAGCCCTCCCCAGTGGCACAACGGTTTGTCTGCGGTCTTACAATGCTACAATCTGGGTTTCGGTACCTGTGGTGGGCAGAGAGCAGATAGCCTATTGTGTAGCTTTGTTCTTAACTTCAAATAACTCAAAAAATAAAATAAAAACATGACAACGATTATTTGTTCATTCATTGTAATTCCAAATCATGAATATAAATAAACAATATATCCATATGCATATTTAACTCAAATGTAACAGATTAATACAGTCAGCACATATCTGAAGTTGTGTGAATCATACGTAAAAAATCGGTGAATCATCTGATATTAATTTTTGTTCACAAAAAAGTGGAGAACTGTATTTAAGTTGAATTAAAAAGATAGTTTTCTTGTTTGTGGATGAGGGCTGACTGGTGAACAAAATATATTTCTATCACCTGGCCTTATGTTCAACAGTTTACTGAACATCCTTGTTAATGTAGTTAATCCCGAAACAAACTTTTTTTTTTAAGTGAAAATGTCTTTCCAAATTATTTTTTTAAAGATGGTAACAAAAGATTTTAACATACGCGTGTAAAGCAATGGAAAAGATGTTTGTAAACATTGAAGAAATTTTATGTATATCCTTGGAATGTACATTTTCATTTTTAAAATATTGAGGCTTTTTATATGTAGAATTCCAGTAGTAATCTCTGAACATTTTTCTTTATTCTAGTGATTATCTGTTCAAGCTTCTTCTGATTGGTGATTCTGGTGTGGGAAAGTCATGTTTATTGTTGAGATTTGCAGTAAGCATTATGAGTTTGTTTTTTCTTTTATGTATTTATCAGTTTTTTTTTTAGATTTTGACTTCCATCAGTCCCTCACCTTAAACTGGCTAAAAAATATATAATCTGATAATGTAATAAATGTCCGTGTGTTCATTACAGACTTTTAATGTATTCAAATAGTTTTGATACTTTGGAGTTAAAAATCTTGTAAATCAAATATATAATTAACATTGCAAGTAGAACATTTAAGTGAATTTAGTTCAGTAATCATATAGGACTTTTAAATGGTGTGTTTATAACTATATAAAAAACATGCGATAGATATTTTTCCAATCATAATTTATCTGGAGGAGGTAGTGATTTATTTTTAAAACCTTCATTAATATGATTTTGTTCCATCAGACATCTGGGGATAAGTCAGTTGAAAATATCTACAAACTGCAATTTTAATGATTTCATCATTTTAGATTAATTTTTAATGAGATTTCATGTAACTGAATTATATCTAGTTTTGAAAACTGGAAGAAAAAATTTATTTTCCATCTGTAATTTTTGCAGTCTAGAAATAAGTATCTCTAAGTATAAAATTATATGGAATATTTTTGCTTGATCCAAACAGAAAATGTATATTATTATTTTTTTTTAAGCTAAACAGTGCAAAATGGGAAGTTGGTCATTACGCTTACAGTAACTTTTTTTTTTTTTACAAAACATAAAATGGGGCAATGTGAAGACCGGAATTCTATAATTTTTTTAATTACCAGGAGAGATTTTGTTATTGTTCTGAACATTGCTGGATTAGAACAAAGTTGAAAGGAAATTTAATACTTGTATTTAGTTATTTTA